CAGGCCTCCGACCGGAATTGAACCCAGGACCTTTCAGTCCACAGACTGACACTCTATCCACTGAGCCAAACCGGTTTCGGCTGCTTACCATCTTTAATGGAATTATTATATTGAATAAATAACTCCTCAACTAGTTCTTGAAGTCCTTCAAAACAGGGGCTTTGAGGTTTTATTTATTGTTGTAGCACCCAACATATTATGTGAAATATATTAGGTACTTGATAGATATTTTTCAGTTGATGCTTAAATGAATGAATATCCCCTAGGACACTTAAAACAGTCCTGGCCATTATCATACACTTAATGAATATTTATTGAATTAAATAAAGTTGTATCACAAGCTACTAAAACCTTTGCCTTTAAATTCTTTTTCTTTTTTTCTTTGCTTTCTTTGTTCTTGTTTCTCTCAAACCAGTTTGTTTTCTTTACCCCCCTTTTACAATCAGAATTTATTCAACTGTAAATGCTATGTTCCTTACAGGTCTTCTTCCCAGTAGATTAAACTCTTAAATCTTTTCATTTGTGATTTTAAGCCATTGTTTTTAAAAAGATGTGGGTATTTGCTATGAGTTTAAGAAAAACACCTTGAAGACTTTGACCTCAGTAACTTCCACTTTGACAGGATTTTAATGTCCACTAAAGAGGTTAAACACTCTCTCTATTTTGAGCCAAATTAATTTCTAATAAATAAAAATAGTAGGAAGTGCTAATGACTGAAATATGAAAGGGGCACTTGAGGCAATCTACTCATTCCTGATAAAGGAATTAAGAAGCAAGGGGGAGGGGGCAAGAGGCTCTGTTTTCCCTAGTTGAGTTTTTGATTAATTTGGAAGTGTTCTGGGAAAGGAGAAACAATGAAAGGTCATATTATGTCAACACTGTGTCCAGCAAATTAGCCCTTTCCTTACTTTAAAAAAAAAAAAGTCCAGAGACCCAGCTATCTCTCAGGTGCTATTTCCTCTCTCATTTTTCTTTAATAACTAACTTTCACAAATAACAGATTTTATTCACTGCTCTCACTTTCTCATCATGCACTTTTTGTAATTTTTTGAAATCCAAATTTGACCCTCATCATTTGAATCACATTTGTCTCTGTCATCAATAACAATAGCTTTTTTTCTTTTTTTAATTTTATTTTTCAATTACATTTGACATCCAATATTATGTCAGTTTCATGTAGACAACATAGTAGTTAGACATTTATATTACTTATGAAATAATCCTCCAATGAGTCTAGTATACAACATTATTGACTATATTCCCTATGTTGTCCTCTTTTCAATCACCTTTTAAAAGACATTTCACAGCATTTGATACTGTTAAACATCTCCACATTCTCTTCTCTTTTGAGATGAAATGACATTGATTTGAATTTTCCATCTATGATGACCCTTTAGCTGAAATTCCTTCCAAAACCCTCTAAATATAGACATTTCTTATGGATCTGTTCTTGATGTGTCTGTTTTCCTCTCTATATTTTAACCTTCAGAAATTTCATCATCTTATTTGAATCACTTTCCATATGGCTTCGAACAGTGTATCCCCAGTTCTAACTCCTCCCTTTGGCTTTATACCTAAACTTCCCAAACCTCAACTATATTCAGGTTTAGAGTTATCAATGTTCCCTTCAGCAATTACTTCTTCATCCTACGTTTTCTTTCTTTATCAATAGTTCCAATATGATTCTACTTATCTAAGTGCTTTAACTCTGACTCATCGGGGTCCAGAGCCTTTATATGGACTTTGTATGGAAGTGAATGAAGGGTGGCAAAATATGCCACCCCAAAGTATACCACACTACCATAAGGAGTATTTGAGATAAAGGCACTTCAGAAATAGCAGGTGCAGTGGAGGGCATTCTAATCTTCCCCTTTCTTCCTGAAAATAGGAGCTAAAAACTCCCAGATGAAAGATGTGCTCTTTGGATCAAGAAAAAAGAAACATTCTTCAACAGGAATCAAAATCAATAGAACCGTGTACATACAGACCTTGTTAAAATAATTCTTATCTTCCCACACATTAGCCTCCCACACAGTTTGGTTACTTTTCCACAATTGCCTCTCTTTGTTCAACCTAGTATGAAAGCATTTAGGTTTTGCCACTTCTTTGAGTCTTTATTTCTTTATGAGGGATCCCATGTTACATAAAACTTATAATAAATAAATATGTATCCTTTTCTCCTGTTAATCTGTTTTATCTGTTTAATTTTAAGGCCCAGCCAAAAATATGTAAGAGGGTAAAGATAAAATTTTGCCTCCCCTACAGTTTCAACCTCTAATGTTTCTACCTTTCTACATTATTCTGCTTTGGCCCAATTTTTATTATTTTTGGTTGGAGCATTATGAAACTTTTTACTTTAAAAAGTTTTCATTACACATTTAATATTATTTTATAGTAATTTCAGGTATACAACTTAATAGTTAGAAACTCATATAATTTACAAAATATTCCTCCTGATATTTCCAGTATCATCTGGCATCATACATAGTTATTATAATATTATTGACTATGTTTTCTATGCTATACATTACATCCCCATGATTATTCTGTAACTATCAATTTGTACATATTAATACCTTCACTTTTCCACCCAACCTCCCAACCCCTCTCCCTCTGACAAGTGTCAGTTTGTTCTCAGTATCTATCAGTCTGTTTCTATTTTGTTTATTTTGGTCTTTAGATCCCACATATCAGTGAAATCATATGGTTTTTTGTCTTTCTCTGACTTGTATATTTCACTTAGTAAAATACCCTCTAGGTCCATTCTCATTATTGCAAATGGCAAGATTTCATTCATTTTTATGGCCAAGTAGTATTGCATTGTATACACATACCTCTACTTTTTTATCCACTCATCTACTGATGGGCACTTGAAATTTCTTCCATATCTTAGCTGTTATAAATAACTGCAGTGAGCATAGGAATACATGCATTCTTTCGAATTAGAGGTTTGGGTTGCCTGGAATACATACCCAGAAGTGGAATTGCTCCTCAACATCACTAATCATCAGAGAAATGCAAATTAAAACCACAATAAAATATCACTGCAGACTTGTCAGAGTGGGTATTACCAACAAATCAAAAACAACAAGTGTTAGCAAGGATGTAGAGAAAAGGGAATGCTTGTGCACTGTTGGTGGGAATGCAGATTGGTGCAGCCACTATGAAAAACAGTATGGTGGTTCCTAAAAATTTAAAAATAAAACTGCCATATGAAATTTTCTTAAGCAACCTTGATTCATTTGGCTAAAAGAATTATTATTCTCTTTAAGAGAATAATACCGACCAAATCATGTTCTTGCTCCTAAATCTTGGCCAGCTCCTCACTGCCTGTTCGGTAACATCTGGCATCTCTGGTTTATTAATTAGGGCATCGGTTTGCCTTACATTATTTTGCATGTGATTTTTATCTCAATATCTTCCTATACACCTGCAACCAGGATATAGAATCAGCCTATCCTCGAAATGCTGTTAAATATGAATTTTTAAAAATCTACATTGCTGGGAATCCTTTGTTGTTCCTTGCCATTTTTATTGCTAAATAGCTCCCCACCTAAAACTTTCTTATCTTATTTTTAATCTAATTGAGTACTTTTTCCATGAGTATGCTTAATATTTACGAACTACTTGTAAAATTAACGCATTCAAATTTAACAAGAAAGTATTATTATCAGAGAAATAGCTATTTTCCTTTCCTTACATTAAGAGAACCCAACAACACGGATGGACCTGGAGAGCATTATGCTAAGTGAGATAAGCCTGTCTGAGAAAGATACACATCACATGATCTCACTTATTTGTTGATTTTTTACAGAGAGGAAGGGAGAGGGATAGATAGAAACATCGATGAGAGAGAATCATTGATCAGCTGCCTCTTTCACACCCCCTACTGGGGATGTGCCCGCAGCCAAGGTACATGCTCTTGACCGGAATCGAACCCAGGACCTTTTGATCCACAGGCCGACGCTCTATCTACTGAGCCAAACTGGTTTCAGCAAAAAAGTATATATTTTTTTTTAAAAAAGGGAGAACCCAAGGTAGAGGGTAACCTCATTCCCCCATGAAGTAGGCACGCCATCTAGTGACAGCTCCACCACACTACAAACCTTGCCTCTGAGGCCTGCAAACCCTAAGATCCACCTTTAAATTTTCCTCAAAAAATAGATCAAAATGAAACTTTAAAAAAAGATATAACATAGTACCATAAGAAAAAGTATTGAATAATATTTTTGTATGGCATTAAAATTAAACATGCATACCAATTAATTTAGGGTCGACTAAATATAGATAAGTTCAGAGAAACAGAAGGACCTAAAGTTTTTAGATGTTGACATTAATCAGTGATGTGTTTGGATCCACTCTGAAAGAAGAAAATTTTTAAAAAAATGTCTGTTAGCTTGGCTGAATCTCTGATAAACTGTGAACATTTTCTTTTTCCCCAAGATGACATATATAACAAACCCTACAGGTGTACTCTGAATAAATGTTAGCTGAAGAGCAGCATAATGGTTCAGAGTAGCACAGACTTTGGAGCCAGGTGATTTGTTGTGAAAACCCTCATGAACTGGAGCACAAACCTCAATTGCTCAGAATGACCATCTCACATCTGGAAACATGGCAATGACAATATCTTCGTGGTATGAGAAATAATATATGCAAACTATTTGATCTATAGCAGGTACTCAGTAAAAAAAGTGATCGTTTGGTTTTAATGATTATTACCCTGTTACCTTTGATAATTTGTATAGAGAAATAAAACTGCTTTTCAAGCTTAAAAACTATTATTCCTAGGTCCCCGATTTCTTTCCTTATCATAGCATAGAGTGCACCTATTGATAGACATCATGACTCTCAATACCTGGTGAGAGATACCATGCTTATTTAGTAAATATCTGACAACAACAATTACAAAATAATTTATCTATAGAACACATTAAGAACCTTTTATATTGACTATATGTTTTAAAGTATTCAGAAAAAAGTAAGTTGTTCATACTTACAACTCTCCAGTTGCATTATGCATGTTTGCACATCCATCGGAAAATTCTTGAGATCCATCGGACAGGAAAGTGTTAATGTCAATCTGAAGAAATTCAAAGCAATTATTCTTTAAAAAAAAAAAATATGACACCCTATGAATGTCATATTGTTCAAAGGTACAATTGGAAAGCAAAATTGCTGTCGGTAGTGACTAATGTTCAGTCAAATAAAATTTGTCCCAAGTTGGCTGTTATTTATCCTTAAATACCTTTATACTGAGTGGCCAGATTATTACGATCTCTGAACACATAGTAATCTGGCCACCCTCTCTATATATTAGAGGGCCAGTGCATGAATTCGTGCATGGGTGGGGTCCAGCCAGCCTGGCCAGAAGGAGGGGCCATGGGCGGTTGGCCGGCCTGCCTGCTGGTCGAACTCCTGGTCGAGGGGACAATTTGCATATTAGCCCATTATTATATAGGATATACACTGAGTGGCCAGATTATTATGCGTTCAGAGATCAAAATAATTTGGCCACTCACCTTATATATAAATCTGATGGGGGGGAGGGGTGGGAGGAGAGAGAAGAGCTATATATTTAAACATCCAATCAGATATATTTATCTATTGATATATTTTTTCCTCTTTCGAGATGGCTATGGCATCTGAAAGAAGTCTTTATTTCCAGAAGAAACCTTCAAAAAAGAAATTTGAGAATGAGATCAATAAAATAAATACCACATACCAAAGAACACACTTCCCCCAAATCACATGGAGCATATTAGAGGAGGCAAGTATATCCTGGGAATTGGCGTTCTAAATGTGGTAAGTTGGAGTGCAGAGAAGCAATCCTGTGTGACAACTCCCTGTCATTTTGAAACTGCATTAAAGAAGTTGTCACGAATATCCAGCAGTATTCAGCAGGGAAATATACTCTGAATCTACTCCCTAGAATCGTCAAGTCCTACCTTGAACTAACCATTCTAGGTGATAGAATGGGGTTTCCCCTGTGGGACTAGAGCATGTCACCAGGTCTTATCAGGGCCAAGTAACAGCCTTCTGGAATAGGTGTGACATCTTTCCATGCTCACCAAACAAACTTCTGATTTGGCTTCTCGCCAAGTGACTTGGATGCTGTACACCAGCACTCTCCCTCTTCCAGAAAGTATTTGATTGTTGGCATTCCAAACCATTCATCACTCTCATTTTTTTTTTTTATTGGAAAAGTTTATTACCAAAATATCTTCAGGGATTACCAAGACTTTGTAATTCCTGGACCTGAGAAAAATACACCCAGATCTAATCAAACCCACGTTTATTCAAAGCAAGTTCTTTTCTGAGAACTCTCTGGCCAGCCCCTCTCATTGCAAGTATTCCCAATGAAATTCGGTATATTAATGAGCGCATAGGCGGAATTGTTTACTTAAGCTTTATGACCATGGGCAGATTACTTCACCCTATAATGGTTCAGTTTTCACCTCTCTAACATGAAGAAATGACAGTATCTGTTCTGGAGAGGTGTGAAAAATATTTTAGTAATACATGTAAAGCACTTAGATAAGTGCTTACAAGCAGCAACCACTCAATAAATATTAGTAACTAAGGATTACTAGTACATTCTACCACTCTCAGCCTTCCCTATCTTCCCCTCCCCCCAAATTATATAGGATGGCCACAAAATGACTGGATTGAATCACATATAAAAATGTAAGCTTTTACGAGAGTAATTACCAGCTCTATTAAATGGAACCACATCCTCCAAAATGGCATAACAATACAGACCATGCATTAAAGTTGTGATGGTGTGTGTTCTACAGTGAATACTCTTGGTGAGATCCAATGAACATAGTCTGAGAGACATAAATGAACAGACATGTGACACTGTTAAATGTTTAAGATTCCCGGGAGGGTCATTTGACAGTTCACTCAAGTCAGAGTCCATAACACACGAGCATAAGTCATAGAGTTTACAATTCAAAAGCAATTTTCTCCTGGCTCAGCTAGATTGAGTGGGTCTGTAAGCATGATTTTGTAAATTTGCAAAGTTCTCCCTTGAAATGGCAATTGTAAAATCAGTTGGACACGATGTTCTCTGTCTTGAGAAAGGGTTTATTAGAGGTGTGTGCACAAGTTCGTTTTGAGTGTATGCACATTAATTTTCCAGACATCCAAGGCCCACTGGCCAGCCAGCTCCAAATTTTGGCTTGCAGAATGAACTCTGTGACCTTTTGTACGGAAGTAAATAGCATTCTGAGAACCTTTTCCAGGCTCTCACCATGCGTGTGATGTCAAATTCGTATCCTGGCTATTTTTCTGGCATAAAATGAGAGACATTACATAATTCTTTTTTTTTTTTAAGTGCTTGAAAGGAATTATTTGGGAAAGAAAAACACTAGAACTCATCATAAATCACATCCTGAAAAACATTTATTTATTGATACTTGTTTTGTTTAAGACAGGACACAATTGCTTCTTTAACAGCATATGAATGAAAAAATATGTGTCAATGTGGTGGGTGTGATATTGAATTTCTTCATCAAAACATTACAAGTAAATTGTGATTTGTCCTGACCACATCAAAAGAAAACGAAATCAAAAGGTAATTAATCACATTCTACTGTTTTGGAATTGAGAATCTTCTTTGTGGTGAGAGAGGACACCGAGTTCTCATTCTGGGACAAGACACATAAACAGGATATGGCGTTTTTAATTTTTTCCTAAGAAGTCTTGGCTTAGTGAAGTAGTAATGTTAAAAAGGATGACTAAAATCTGTGACAGTTGACCTCATTAAAATTGACATATTACCCATTTTTTTGAGCAAGCACTGCCCTAGAGTATGCTGTCTATCTGAACCATTAATTGAAGTATTAAAAAAATGTTTTGTCACTCCATTTTATGCTCTTCATGAACATGAGAAGTATTTTTATGAGTTTCTAATATTTCTAAATTTAGTGTTATAAGGACAATGGCAAGAGTCCATATAAAGTTAATTTGGGGATTCTAGAAAATATCAGAATTTAGGCTTTTTTTGTGGTTTAGCTTTTTATTGTTGTGGTTGTTCAGTTTAGTTTTTGTTCTCTTTTTAGAAATATAAAATTAACAAGTCAATGCCTATTATATGCCAGGTAGTATGCTGGGTGCTTTACATATATTACAATATTTCAGGCACACAGACTCATCTACAGTGACAAAAAGCAAATGTGTGGTGGCTCTGAGATGGGGGAGTAGGGGCAGGGTTGTGAACAAACTTTTGAGAGTGATACATATATCCACTCTCTTGATTGTGCTGATGATTTCATGAAAATATAATTCACATGTTGAAACTTATCAAATTGTACACTTTAATTATTTGTAGTTTGCTACAATTCAATAAAGCTGGCTTTTAATTAAAAACAAAATATTTTTGTTTTGCTCCAGGTCACAGCTAGTAAATTGTAGAGACTTGGTTGGGGTCAGGAGACATCTTGCCAGGTGCACCAAGACCACAAGGCTTTCACTATTCTTTCTACCTTTGTCATTTCTTAGGGTTTGTTGATGCGGATGCCAATTTTGAGGGATGTGATCATGTTGTTTCACAGGAGAAAGAGAAGGCTGACTTGTATTTTGCTATAAAAGTCCAAAACTCCATGTTTCATAGCTGTGACACAGACCCTTGGTGTACGTTATGTTCATCTGGGCCTGTTGTATGGTTCCAATGAGAGTTGAGAACAAGGGACAATAAGGCAAATATGGGGACACTTGTGTTGCATGCTAGCAGTGAGTAATAAATTCCTTTGTCTCCAACCCAGGAGTTTTGTGCCTCAGTCAGCACCCACTAATCATATATTGGACTAGAACTGATGTTCTGCTTTTCAACTCATGTCTCTGTTTTCTATTTATTGGTATCTTGCTTCTACTTCTTGGGAAACTTCTTCACTTCATCATTCCAAGTATTCTACTATCACAACCACCACCACCCCACCACCCGCCCACTTTGGTTTACTATTTGTTCTTATTATGTTCTGAGTGACTCAGTTTCCTTTCCTAGGAGTATCTTATTTCATGTAACCAATTGTCTCATCTGTTCAGAGATTATCTTCATGGTCTCTTCTGCTCCCTGTATTTCCCCATAAATCATTCATCTCCTTTTGTTTCCTTCATTTTCCTCTTTTATCTTTATTTCCTTTGCATGTTTCTTCTGACATCTGCTTCTTTTTTATTCTTGTTAATATTATAAGATGTCCTCAAATGTCTGTTTATATATAAGAACAAAGCACTAAAATCTATTTGGAGCTCAATTAGTTAGTAGTGGATGGTTCATTGAGTAATAAATAGTCTTATCTGTAAGATGATTACATGACTACCATTTTTCATTGGAGGTTCTCCAAATGTTAATATTTGTAAATTTTTTTTTCTGTTGGGCAAGTTAATTTCTCCAGAGGTATATTTTTCTGACTTCTGCTCAGTAAAATTTTTTATCTTGTTTTCAGCATTTTAGGGAGGACAAGGGTATCACCATTTAGTGTATCCCTTGCAATCCTTATTTTCTTGGTAAGATGCTTATGACAGACCCAGCTGTGCCTGAAGTCACTATTTGTGAAGTTCTTGGCACAAGCTCTCTGAGATTTTTCTGTCTTGCTTTCTGCTCTGGTCAGAAGGCAAAAAAAAAGGGTAGCTCCTCATCTAAAGGATATACTAGTAGATGAGGAAAATTAGAAATAGAAAGCTCGCGGATGTTATTACAAAGTTTAAGTTGATTCTTTTTCTGTGATCTCTTGTCTAGTTACTACTTTCTGAAGTCCTTGCTGCCTCAAATTTCTGAAAGTTTGAGGGTAATATTTCTTCCTTTTGAATGTTCTCACTTTGGTTTAGATTTCAGCTACTTCTGTCTGTTAAGTCAGTTTTCCCCAGTGCATTCACTTTCAAGCTTCCTAAAGTATGTTGTCATCATTCATCTGTCACAGATTTCTTTTCCATTCCTTTCAACCTCCTGGGTGTCAATGCTGTTTTATTCCTTATTTAGTTTATTTCTTTGTTTTAGTGGGTTGAAGGAGAAAGTACAGATAAATGGATAAGTTAAATAGGTCAGGTTTGCCAGGACATTCTGCTTCTTTCTTAAAACAACTAGAAAAGCCAGATCTCTCATGAAACATCACAGATGCTCCATTTGTAAATTGAATGAGATTTTTTTTTTCTAGCACAACTTTTGTTAACAAAGAAACTGTTTGCCAATTGAAGATTTCAAAGTACTGTGAGATTTCCAAAAACAACTCATAGAAAAACAAATTTAGTCTTTGATCATGTGAGCCAGGATATAGCAAACAAAAACTGGGAGCTGGGAGACATCATCCTGTTTCATCTGAATTCATACTGAAAAGACAAAAATGCAATTCTGAATTATTCCATAACTTTTCTCAAAATATTAGAAGAAATGTGAGCAAGTCATATTGGATAGCATAATTTTCCAATTTCAATAAGATGGTAAAAAACTAAATATTCATAATCTTATAGCACACACACACATTATATTTCAATTCTATCGATGAAAATATTCTAGACATCATGATTTTATTCCTACCCATATTCAATCACTTATTTCCATTAGTTGGTTATTTTCTTCCAGTTGTTAGGCATCATTCTGAACTCTAGCATGGATGTACATAGATGTGTATTTTTACATACACAGTTATGTTTACATATATAGAGTGTTTTAAGTACAAATAATCATAAAACGCTTCTTGAATTTAAATATATTTTGGATGCCTTCTTTTATGAATAACTTTAGATCTATCTCATGCAGAATATTTCATGATATGGGACTATCATTGTGTTTTACTTTGTTCTTATTAATGAATATTTAGGGGACCTTTTTGCAGTTGCCATATCTGTGGTGAAGTGGGCATCTTTGTAAATGTATCTTATGTGTACATAAACACGTAAGTAATACTAATTCCTACAAGTAAAATTGCTGAGTTGAAGAATAAATGAATTTTATATTTTTATATATCATAAAAAAAGTATCTCCAAAGAGTTAATGTCAAATTATATGCCCACAAAGAAGGTATTAGACAACACTAAATATTACCTGTCTTGTTAATTTATGCCCATACATTTATTTTTTTAAGTTATCTTATCTTTTGCTTTTCATTCCCCCCCACATCAATGTTATAATTCTTGCTTCAACTGTTAAATATGAAGAAAACTCAAGATGAAAAGAAACATCTATCATTGTATTTACTTATATTTTTGCTTACTGTTTCCTTTCTACCTTCTATATTCCAATGTTTCTTCTTTTTCTTTTTTCTTTTTATTCCCATTGCCATTTATTCTTCCTATACTATTCTCCAATGTTCCTTCTTTTATTATTTCCTTTCTGTTTGAAATACTTCTGTAGCTACACATTTAAGATAGGTCTACAGGTGACAAATTCTCTTAGTATTCTTTTATTTAAAAATACAATTTCCCCTTCATTCTTGATGTATATTTTCAGTGAGTTCAGGATCCTAAGATAACAGTTCTTTTCTTTAGCACTTAAAAAAACGTGTCAGTCCTTTCTGGCCTCCATGATTTCTGATGAAAACGTCTAATAGTTTCCCCCCCAGAGGTTAAGTGTTGTTACTCTCCAAATTCTTTCAAAATTTTTATTTAGCTGAAACTGGTTTGGCTCAGTGGATAGATCATTGGTCTGCAGACTGAAAGGTCTCAGGTTCGATTCCAGTCAAGGGCATGTACCTTGGTTGCGGGCACATCCCTGGTAGGGGGTGTGCAAGAGGCAGCTGGTCGATGTTTCTCTCTCATCGACGTTTCTAGTTCTCTATCTCTCTCCCTTTCTCTCTGTTAAAAATCAATAAAATATATTTTTTAAAATTTTTATTTAGTTTTCAAAAGTTTGTCTATAATGTGACTTGATATATATATTTGGGAGTCATTCAATACCTGGAATCTGGAGGTTTAAGCCTTTTTTAGAATTTGCAAATATTTCAGCCTTTAATTCTTCTAATATAATTTTAGCTTTATACTCTATTCTTCCTCTCTATATGAGACTCTGATTACATGAATGTTAGGATTTTTATTATACTCAATGGATTATAAAAATTTTATTTCCTCAGGTTTCAAGTCCTTACTTTTCTTATAGCTACTATTGCGAGTCTTTTTAAGTTTGTTATATATATTGTGTGTAGGGATCTTAGTTATATTTAACAGAAGGAATAGAGACCATATGTATGTTCCATCTTCCCACTATCTTTTGATTCTTATACTTTTAATAGTAATTTTCCAAAAAAATTCAAAATTCTCTTGCTTACACCTGGGATTCGCCATTAAGTCATTTATTCATTTGGGAGAATAGGGATAAATTACTGATGAACTCTGAAAGCTTCCTTTATATCTTATATAGCAATGAATTATTCAGGATTATGTTAACACATATTAGACAGTTTTTAGCAATGTGACAAAAGTGTCAGTTAGAGTAGAGTGATGTTGCCTTGTCACCCTTAGGAAGTAATGTATTTATTAAAAGAAAATTTATTCACATGAAATATGAAAATATGAAAAACATAATACATTAGCTTGATGTTTGTGTTTTGGAATTAATTATAGTTATAGTTTGGTATTTATTTTAAAAGGATGCATGATCTTCTAAGAAAAAACTTTTAAATAATTAAAGTGCAAATAAAATCTTTTCTAAAAGATAGTAAGAGAAGCTCAGGAAATCTAAAAAAAAATAACACATGTATTGTTGAAAAATATTTTATGGGAAATGGATCTCAGCAAAACAAATCTCTATATTTCTTCACCTATAAATATTACAAGAGTATGCATATATAAAAATATCATCACAATGTATGATTTGGCTACCATTTTCATTTGCCCTTAAATCACCCATTGACCTGGCTGATTAATAACCTGGGCTACTTGTTAAAAAAGCGGATTTCCAAGAATTATTCATGCAGTTTCTGGATCTAAAACTTGGGTCTGCTATTCTTGATTAGACATATTTGTAAATAGTACATTAAAGGAATTTAAGTGGAACAATGAAAGCAGTTAATCAAAAATTTCAAAACACTCAATAAAAGCAAATAATAAAAAAGAAAAAAACAATTCTTTCCCACCAAAATCAGGAATTTAAGTATGTGACTCACCTTATTGAATAAAGAACATTTCCATTCTTGAAAATTCTTAACAGTTTGTTGTCTGTGGTAACTTCGTGAAAGTTGGCACCCTTTTCATTGGCAAAGAACAGGTCAGGTTTCCAAATGGAATCCAACATGGAAGGGTCTAGGTCTAAAGAGTCATCAGGATATTCACTATATGCAAGGCGAGGATCGTTCCATTTCTGACGAAGAAAGATATTCACTCTGTAATCCTGCAATAAAAGAAGGGAAGAAAAAGGGGGGGGGGGGGTCTTCTGCTTTAAAAAGTTTAGAATCTTATGTGCTATTTTGGGGGGCTTCTCTGAATTATAACAAAAGCTACTGACATCCTTGTGAGTCTTCTATCCCACACGATCATCACTCATTACTACCGATAAGAGTCACTTTCTTTCTGAGGCTTTCCCCGAGTTCTCAGTGGCCTATACGCCTCCAAAAAAACAGCTACAGAGGAACACAATTTTATCATACGTATGTTTTATGGTTCTATTCAACACTCACTCTCCTGGTTTGTCAGAGTAAAATATTGGTCTGCTTGCTACCTGACACCTGGAGTGAAATATATATTCAGCTTTGCATTGATTTTCTAGAACCATTTCTTTTAGTGGGTATCTAATAGCATCTGGAAGGCCTTTAGTGAACTTATCTTGGAAGCTCCTTGCTTTACAAAAATGACCATACATACTTTTTGATAATGAAGACACATATTCTCATGTTTAATATAGCATGTAAATTCTATAAAATAGGTGACTTGGGGAAAATAACAGGTGACTTTATAGTAATAAAAGAATAATAAAGGCACATTATTGCTAACAACTCTTTAAAAAGATTTCACTTATGAGATATCCAAATTAGACCTTTAATAGTTAAGTTAAAAAGGGAAAGAGTTACTGATTTCAGCCAAATTCTTGTTCACAAATTCTGGACTGATGTATAAAATGAAAAGACCGGTAGCTAGGTGTTATAGGTAATGCTTATATCCATATACTGTGTACACATTACAAATATAACTTTTGCCTTAGGTTTTTTGAAATGAGCAAATAAACATGTAAATTTCATTACAAGCATGAGTAATGTGAACATTTTTAGAAAGCTTCATTTGCATGAAAAAATAAGCTGAAGACATTCAGAGAAACTGAACACTAATTTTTATCTATTTTTTTATTCCTTGAATACCAAATTATTACTTGTCAGAATATAATAGCCAAGCAATCACAAAGGATGTTTCCATAATATTAGAACCGATAGATGGTTTATCTTTCAGGTAGATCTAATTCAGAGTGCATAGTGAGTGTAACACATCTGTATGTTCCCTTAATCATTTTTTGTGCCCTGAATCCTCTATCTTCTAACTGTAGCTGATGTTACACACCAAAGAATATATTTTCTGCCTGCTAGGTGCCCCTTGTATCTTGAAAAGTACCAACGGAGCAGAGTCCACTTTTCAGCTTCTTTACCATAAATCTTACCAACCCGAAGGGTATGTAGAACCTGTAAATGGAATATATGCGAGAGCTCAAGTCATTCTTTCTTGCTAGAGTTCAGAGTACCATGAAGCACACCTTCATGGTGGCCAATTCTTGTGTCCCTCGCCATTCTGCTGTCTTTGCCTCAGCTCTAACCACCACCAAAAGAGTTGGTGATCAGACTAAAATCAGTTTCTCTCTGACTTGCCTATCGGAGAAGGCTAAAGCAAGACAAGTGATACCTACCAGGATAAAAAATAACTGACTAGGAAAGAACTTCCTTTTGGACTAGATATAATTGAAGTATTTATATGCTGTAACTACGGTAAGTTATTAACTGAGAACACTCTGTAGTCATTCAGACCCTGAGGATAAAATAAAACAAATTTTAAGCTCAGAATGTATAATAAAATTTGGCTCAATCTCTTTATCCCTATGTTATTGATTTAGTGATAAACTTTATAAACACAGTCTCAGATCTTCCAGAAACACTCTGCTTTAAGAGTGAGCTAAAAAAGTCACCACGTATCCTTCAAGAAAAAATCAGCTGTCACTGTAACCAAAGCCACGTGTTCACCTGCATCCCTTGTGCTCTTTCTTTCTTAGCCAGAAACATCTTTGTTTCTGAACACATTTAAGTGTTTGAGTTAGGGCCATGGACCAATTCAAAACTCAAAAATAACCATCTCCTGAAAACCTAGAAAGTTAAGTTCTAACACTCCTCATAGTTGGGTTTTGCCCTGCTTGCAAATGCACATTATGCTGAGAAGCTTCTCTCTTACACAACCTAAGTCAGCATTTCGAAAAATAATTTTTAAGGCTGATTCTTTCTAGCCAACATATCCCATTTGTACCCAGCAACCAATTAGAGTAATTGCTTTTGAATCCTGATTGTGAAAATGCGCTAAGGGTACATAAAATGACATAGTAAAGTGATACCACCTTAAAAGAAGTCCTTGCAATGCAATTTGAAATAACTTGCTTATAACAGAAAGACCATGGACTGGAGAAGGAAACAGCTTTGCAAAGCAGAGACTAACAGATGCATGAGCAGCTTATGCAAAAACATTTTAAGTGGACCTATGGAGAACAGTTGTATGTGAGTACAAAAAAAGGCAATAATAAATATGAGATAATACATATTGAGAGTGAAATCAATATTTATAGTTCTCATTTCTAAAATCTAGACATATATTGAATTCATAATTCATGATACTTATATAGAATCATAATTATTTTAGGACACAGATATTAATGGCCTTCAGAATCATGAGATATACATTGGTGTTGCTTTTAAGCCACCCAATTTGAATCTGTGGCAGTTTGCTAGAGCAGCAATAGCAAACTGATACATTTATATTTTTGAATGGATTTTAATACATACACAGTCTCATTTTTTAATGAAATTCCTACAATAATACATTATTTTTTGTCAGATAGTCTAGAGGGCAGAACATTTAAGGCAAACATTCCTGGATTCCTAGCCAAATAGAAAAATTAACTCAAAATTCTTCCTATTTTTAGGAGTCCTAATAAGAGACACTGGCTAATTTCAACATGATTAGAAAATAGCTTTCTCTTCTCAAAGAAATAAGAACAGAGGGCAAACTCCCTGACCACTACATCGTTAGTTTACTTTTTGAAAGATTTTCTAATTCTAAAGTACTACACAACATAGGTTTACCATGCAACACAAAGTGTGTAATACTAATCTCAGCAGTGGAATAGTTGCTCCAATGTCATCTCCATAATATCCCCCATGTTGCCTGTACCATCTGTTCTATGATCCCCACCACAGGGAGGGTGGTTGGCTGGGGCCACTGACTGAAATAATGGCCCATTGGGAAAGTGCCTTCCAGTTCTCAGTTACGAAGCCAACAGGGGGAAAAGCCATTTTATAAGAACTATTTAAAAGCTCAGAAAGGTTATTTCAAATCTCTCCTTGACTGCTTCAGTATCCATATGTTTATAGATTCTCTAGAAAAGGGCATCATCACTTTTTAATTATGAAGATTTTTTTTTAAAGGAAACCTAATTATGTGCCACTTATGGGAAATACAACGTGAAGAATTCACAAAGAGTAGACTCTCAAAAATGTGTAGAATATTAAATATAAATAAAATGCATCTGGGTTTTCTAGAACTTGAGAGCATTTTTATAATAATAATATTTAAAGGAAATAATCATTATTAAAATTTCATCAAATCTATATTGATGAAAGGCTAGATGGTCGTCATGCACTCATGCCGTCACAATCCATCACCAGTATGGTCAGGGCTTGACACTGAGTGCGTGGTGCAGGGGCAGGTCCAGGTGGCTGCTTAGCGCAGCTTCCTCTGGGGGTCCCGGGGCCCCTCACGCACATGGAGGCGGGACCCCAGGCTCTGGTCTACCTCATTGAGGCAGTCCATTGAGGAACCCTGAATAGGTGGGCAGGACCCACCTCTTTGGGTCAATCGATCGAGGGTCTCCCATGCTGTGAGAGGGCACAGGCCAGGCTGGGGAAATATTGCCCCTTCAGTACACGAATTTTGTGCATCAGGCCACTAGTTTACTAGGATTGGTCAGAACAAACATGTGTTAAATCAGTGAAATGACATTCTATATGTCTCATCCAGTAAACTATGTTAAAATATAAGATTGATTCTAGTCCTTTCAGGATGCTATAACAAAATACCATAGACCAGGTGCCTTATAAACAACAAACATTTATTACTCGCTGTTCTGGAAGCTGGAAGTCTGAGATTAAGGTGCCAATAAGTGAAGGTTCTCCTCTGGGTTGCAGACTTCTCATTGTATTGTCCCATGGCAGAAGATGATGGGAGCTCCCTGGGGTCTCTCTATGAGAGCATTAATCCCATTCACATGTATTCCAACCCTCAAGACTCAAGCCCCTTCCAAAGGTCACACCTACTAATAATACCATGCCCTTTGTGGGGACTAGGACTTCAGCATATGAACTGAGGGAGACGACAAACAAGCAATAGCAAGATAGAAAATTAAACCACTGGCAAAACAATAAAAGGATATGCAGTTGATTCTTGAACAATACAAAGTGGTAGAGTGCCAACCCCTGTAGTTAAAAATCCAGATATAATTTTTTACTCCCCCCAAACTTAATAGAGACAGCCCTTCGCATCAGCAGGTTTTGCATCCACAGGTTTTGCATCTGCAGATTCAACCAACCAAAGATCAAAAACAGTATTTTCCATCTGTAGCTGGGAATCCACAATTGGAAACAGTAGTTGGGGATGTGTAAATACTGGTTTTGATCCTGAGTTGGTTGGTTGAATCCACTATGCGAAACTGGGTTAGGAAGGGACAATTCTATTGGGAAAAAAAAACTGTGTTTAAGTGCATGCACTCAGTTCAAGACCATGTTCTTGAAGGATCAGCTTTATTTCATTCAGAACACTGTGCAGTGCTTGATTTCTGGAGAGGTAAACTTAGTTCATTGGATTATTATTCCAGAAGTCAGTAGAGATTTATTCCAAGTAATATAATTTATTCAGTTTGGGTATGCCTGGGTTTAGAGGTAAAGGCTACATAAAGCCAGTAACTGCTTCCTTTTATTTAAAAAAAAAAAGTAATCTATGCAGCTCTTTGGGTTTAAGGTAACAAGTTATTTCAGCCTTAATGTGCCCATGGCAGTGCTCCCTGAGACCCACTTATCTAGAGACACCCTTCTGCCTCTCAACGCTCACTTCTTGCATTCCTACTCAATTCCCCTTGGCAAATTCCATGCCCAG